AAAAAAAAAAAAAAAAGAAGCTTATATATTATTACACAACGTTATCCTTTTTCTTAATTCTTCCCATTTATCCTTGTTGCGATTTTGCGATGCAGCAGCTCACGTGTGCTTAATAAGTTTTCATTACACATACTACAACGTGAGGGATCCAAATGGGTAAATATAAATGTCCACCGTGCGCTTGTACGGATACATATACAGATGTGCATGAACACATGCAACATGGTGGAATGGTAAAAAAAAAAAAAAATTCACATTTTCAAAGAGGTATAAATTCTTTGGGGGATCAATAATTCCTCTTTGTCCTTCTTGCTGGGCAGCAAGAGTAGCTAGTTTGTCTTTTCCATAGGGTGCGTGGAAATGTGCAGATAAAAATTACGGAGTTATTGTCTGCCTCAAAGCAGTACACAATTTTTTACCTACCTCGCGCGCACAACATAATTGTTAACAGCCAATCGTCCTCGCCTCTTTACCGTAGTAAACTTTTATCTTTTTCTCCCTCCGAATGGGAGAAAAAATTGGGGGTTAAAGCACAACACGTGTGTAATTTTTACCCCTTTGTGTCCCCTTTTTTTCATGACGCATATAGACAGGGGCTGTGTGAGCGATGGAGTGTTTTCTTCGCATGCTGCGCCTGTAATAAAGTTTATTCGAAAACGCTCAAGTTGGCTTCTACTCGGTTTAACCCGTTAACCCATAACGATTGGCTTCCCAATGGCCATTCCACTTAAATGACCCCACCCCATGGGCACCATTCACTCGGATGAGTCCAACTCATTTATGCGTCCTTCGAGAAGGTCCGACGTGCTGGACAAGAATTCCCTTTCCACCTGTGGGTCAACACATATGCCAGCCTTCACCTTGTTGAAATGGTTAAGGTCATTTTCCTCATTGGTGACGTCAAAATTATTGTTTAAAAATGCTTCAGATATAAAAATAAGCACATCATTGGAGTTGCTTTTTTTTTTATCGCGATAAGCAGCATATTCACCCATGTCCTTAAAATTCAAAGTTTCCATTTTGAAAATGGTTTTATCTGGATTCTTTAAAAAAATATTTTTGTTTAAAAATAAATCTAAATGTTCTGTAAAGGCATGCATTTTATTATACTTGGGATCCACAAAAATGGTCAACTTTTGCAAATTATTCATTTCATCATTTTCTATATATCCTTGGAAAAAATTCAAGGACGATAAAATTTTATTATAATATTCATTATTTCCATGTTCGCTCTGAAATTTAGGGAACTTTGTAACATGCACATAACGGTTTTTTAAAACATCTGGATTTGTGCTTACGCTATCTAAAAGGTTTTTCAGAAAACTTAAAAAATCTTTTTTTTCATTCACATCATATTTTTCATTCTTTATATATTCGTCCAATAAATTTTCTATTTTATTTTCGTTAAAAAAATTATCTAATGAAACACTTGGAACTTTCGGCAGCTCATTAACTTCCGCTTCCTTGCTACATCCAGCTTTGTCATTTGCACCTTTACTGTTGTCATTACTTGCACTGTTTAATGAAAGTGTGCTCGTTTCAAACCCAGGGGCGATGTTACTTTGGTACGACTGCATCATGTCTAAAATTAATTTCCCCTTAGTCGTTGACATGACTTCTTTTGGCGTGTCCAAAATGTATTGAGGAATATTTTTCCCAACCAAGAAATTGCACACTTCATTTGTAAAATTGTTACAATTCCAGTTAACTAAATTGTATTTGTCTTCTGTAAAATTTGGCTGAATGCCATTTAGGTATTCGTGAAAGTGCGACTGTTGTAGTTCGGTCATTCCCATGTCAACAATGTTCACAGGTTGGATGTCGTAGTAAGACTCGAATTCGCTTGGAGCCAGACACATAATTCCTCCACCTGTAAGGGAAAAAAAAAGTGTGCGCGCGCGTGTTTAATCGATAAGATCGCAAATAATGTGTACCGCTGAGTCGTAACACACATGCAATGATACGCTCGCTACGGCTGGGAATACCCCCCCCACACCCCTTACCGTAGAAGTACTCCATGTCATAAACCCAAACGGCAGTGTGCCACACGCCATTTATTTGTTTTCCAATCAAAAAGGGGGACCACAACTTTACCCTACAATGTGAAATTGTGCAGAGAAGGAAAGGGGAATGGAAATTAATTTCGGTTATTTGTACCATTGGTTTTCACGCACATAAATGGGCTAAAACAAAAAAATACATGTAAAAAATGCGTGCCTTCCTCTCACACATGTGCGGCAGGAAAGGCGTAATTATTATCTTTGCATTTTGTTTTTATTTTTTTTGTCTTAAATGATTACATTCCCCTGGACAAATCGTATATCTTGAGCTTGACATTGAAGGATGACATGATAACTTTAGTCTGTTCGAATATAGGTTCACCTGGTTCAACACATGTTTTTATATGGATCACACTCCCTTGTGTGTGCAGTAAATGCAGCCGCTCTTGGTGCTTGGTGCGCGGTGGCAAGCAAGAATTCCTTTTTCGCTATATAGTACAATCTACTAAACACGAAAATGAATTTGTAAAATTTGATGATGCTATAAGGATTCAATCCTTTCGGAATATTATTCAATCATGTGCCATAACGCTTATGCGTACGGGAAAACAAAAACAGAGAAAACAAAAAGAGTCTTCTGTGGGGAGCCTTATATGCGACGTACATAGGAATCGAATATGTACACAGATACGCAGCGCTTCACCGCCCTTATCTGTATCGCACAATTAATGTATACACCTCTCGTTTATGTTAACAAAAACAAAAATAGTGATAAAAACAAACGGGTGTAAATCATATAGTTGTCCTGCTTAACTGAGCTTTTATTTTGTTTTATTTTATTTCATTTTATTCCATTTTGCTTTATCTTTATTTTATTTGTTTTTTTTCACCGTTTTGTAAACACCGTTTTATGAGCAGCTGCGGCCATTAAAATTGACGGGAATAATTTTTCGGTCTTTGTCCCCTTCCTCAATTACGACCGTTTGTTCATCAAAAAAATTGGCACCACGTTTGGATGATTATACGTTTGTCATGCGCTTATGCATAATTATAAGTGTATACACTCACGTGTGGAGAAAGCTGCTGAGCACACTGCCCACTCGAATTCGCCACGTACACGCACGCATGAAAAGAGTGAAAAAATCGGAAAAGGACGGCGGAATAAAACGTTCAAAAAATACAAATGGCGGGGAAGCATAATCAGGCGGGTCTCTATACAGTTAATTTTCTGTTTCTTCAAGTTTTTAATTTTATTCTACAATAATTTATGAACGAAAAAAAAAAAAAAATTCTTTTGCATTTCGAAAAAATGGCAGAATTTTGCGTTCGCCTCGTTTGACAGTGCTAATTCGACCATGCGCGCGATACCGTGCATTTATGTGTATTACATATATTATATATATACATATATATGTACATATGTACATATGTATACTTATGAGTGCGCAATGAATGCATACGCGCCATATATAATTTGGCACCTCGCTTCTTAACGCCTTTATGCAAGTATAAATTTATGTAGCAAAAAATGCTGGCGGCATACGAACAAATCTCACATAACCCACTTGGATTTTGCGCATATCTGCAGCTCGCGTAGCGCCAGTGCCATCATGCGTTGGTCTTTTTCATTGGTAATCGAGGTCCAAGCGGTAAAAAAATATATATTTCTATTCCTTTTTTTTTGAAGGTTATATTCGATGGGCCGGAAACGTTTTTTTTTTTTTTTTTTTTGAATAAGCATAAAAAAAGAGAAGAAAAAAAAAGTGCGCAAAAAAAGCATTAAACTTGTTAACAATTATGGGCCCACATATATAACAGCCTTCGTATAGACGTACTGCTCCGTGCTGTTTGTTCTACATGTTTATCGTCGTATTGAAGAAATTCCTGTGTGCATGTTTTGATGAAAAAACGCCTGCAAAGCATTAAAAGGCTGCTTAAAAAAAAAAAAAATATATATTTCACAACAACCCAAACCTGCAACGTGAACATTTTTATGTATACAAATTTATCTATTCACGTTAAGGACGCATTTATTTGCAAAGGATAGAACAAACCCCACCTTTTAATAATTTGCAGTTATATTCAAGAGAACAGATTAAACGCGTCGAATAAATGCTGAAGCAAACGTTGAATTAAGTCCAAACTTCCTGAAAATTGGCATGTAATAATAACTCCTCCGGCCAGGACCAGATTTTCTTCATATACTTTGAGCAAAACCCATTTAAGATAAAAATTTCGAAAGATGATAGTTGAAAATAACCATCAGGAAATTAATGAGTCATATGACGTTATATACGAAGAAGTAAAATTAGAAGATTTCGAATTTGACGAAGCGATTAAAACATTTTTTTATCCTTGCCCCTGCGGAGATATTTTTGAAGTAACTCTGGAAGGTATTTTAAAAGGCGAAGATGTTTTAACATGTCCAAGCTGCTCATTAACCATTAAAATAATATACAACTCGAACGACTTGAACAAGTATGTTTCGGATGCGTAAATCTTTATGGAGCTTGTCAGCCTAGCGGGGAAGCCACAGTGGTGGCAATTTATTCACTCATTTTGAGGGAACACAAATAAATACATGTACATATTTATATATAGAGTGTCCATTTTTGCAACCAAATATATGCATAAATGGAAGGACTGAGGGAAGTGCAGGCTACCCAAACAGCTGTTGCAAAAAAGTTCGAAAGTAGACCTACGTCCAGAACTGTTCACAAGGATGGTCAATTTTCCCCCAATTTTTCTACTTAAAAATGTAGTGCCATTGTACAGAAAAAAAAAAAAAAAAAAAGCTACGCGATAGTTCCAAGGGTTCCTAAATATGTGCAGATTTGTACGTGCATTTTTATATTGATTAATTGCCTTCCCCTTGGAGCATTCCCAGCATAAAGTAGGAGCCTTTCTTTTTTCAATTCCCCTCCCCGCTGTCGCCTTTATCAATTTAATTACTCACTATTTTTTAGTATTTGTCCTCGCCTTACCCAAATCAGTATACAAAATTATGTGTGCCATTCGTTCGATTGTCAATCCGTTCCATTGTCTATCTATTCCATCGTGTAATCTTTCATATAACGCGAGCTCGAATTGGAAGTCGCCACAGTAATTGCGATAATACGAGTGCACATCGTATGAACGCCGTGTGTACATTTGCGTAGATACAAAACCTGGTCACCAATATAAGCACATAAAACGGTGTAGTGATATAACGCAGAGGACACTTTCGAGGACGCAACGGAGACAATCATAATAATTTTTTCACAATTGCTGTAGTAAGATAACTGGTTGAGCAGTAACCCCCCTCCTACCAGATGTTAAATTAATCGTTTGGGCATTTCCAAATAAAGATATAACGAACAAGTTTTTGAACAGCTGGAAGTGTGCACAGAGAAGCTCAAGCGTGAGAACAGGTGTTTCCCCCCACTTGTTATGAAAGGCTAATAAAAATGTATAAAGATATCGAAAACTACGACGCCGAAAAAAATGGTGAAGGAAAAAATGAAAAGGTTATAATCCGAGTGAAAAGAAAAATCGATGAGATGACCATTCCGTCCATTTACGTGAAAAAGTCAAATAAAAGAATATGCAATGGTATATTTTATAAACACTTTGACACGATAATTCCGGATGAAGATATAGAGAAGAAAAACGTTGAATGTATTAACTTGTTCAGAAAACATGAACAGTACCACAACAGTTGCAGTGACTTGTCATGCCTTGCCGAAAGAAAAAGAAAATTCAACTCCCTTAAGGGATATGAAAAGGATTTAAAGGAAGCCATAAATAATTTAAAAAGGTACAAAATAGTGAACCAAAATATTCAGGTCGTCGATTTGGATGCAAAGGAAAAGGGAATTTACAAAATTATCGATGTGAATTTGTTGCAAGAATGGGGCTATGCCAATGTGAATGATGATGCGGGGGCAGATGCGACGAATGAGGAGCGTGCACGGGGCCAGACGGAGAAAGACCCACACAGCAACACCGAGCAGGAATATGAATACGATTTATACATTGTAGACGATGAGAAAATAGAAATAAGTGATTATATGGACTATCTGTACCACATTAAGAATAATAATGTGGATTCATCGGAGGTTATTGTGTTGGAGGATGTGTATGGCAACAACTCCAACGAGTATGACTCGAAGTCTTTTTCATCGTCCAACTCCGATCGTGACACAGTAAAGGAAATGTCGGATTACCCCGACGAGAGCTCGAGCAGTGGAGATGATTGCAGTGGTGGTAGCAGTGTTGATGGCCGTAGTGACAATTCTGTGAGTAGCGACTGCTACGGTGGGAGTTTTGGAAGTGACTATCACCTCGAGAATAATTTGGACGTAGGCTCACACGAGAACAACGTCCCCAGTGACTTCTACGATGAGAATTTCGTGGACCAGCTTAGCAACTGCAGTGAGGATAACCCTTTCAGAACCAACGTTAAAAATGCTGGCAGTGATGAAAACCTGTTTGGAAGAGGGCCGTGTGGTATGAACAACTGGGAGGGCTACATAAAGGGGAAGCCTTCCCAAGGCGGTTACAATAACCACAGCAGTTACCCTTTCCAAAATGGTGTTAGCCACAACAAAGGCAGCAGTAACAACGTCCCCAATAGGGGCTTCCCCCAAAAGAGTACCTCCAAGAAAAACGAAAGAAAAACTCACACAAACAGTAAAAAAATGAACTCCTTAATTTTTGAAGAGAAAATAAAGGACGAGTTAGAAAAACGGTTAAAAGAAAAAAATGAAAATATGCTAAACGTAACATTATCGGAGAAGCTAAAAATTCTTGAGCAGATGGAAAACGAATACTATGATAAGTAGTAATTGGTGTAATTAAAAATTTGCTGCAGAACTATACTGTGTATGGTGATGAAATGGACACAAGGGGAGAAGGTGCGCGCGCCCCCGTCGGATGACCTCAAGTGACGCATTTGACATAAAAAAGAGTTGTGCGCTTCTAATCTGCTAAATCATAATGCTTATGTGCTGTGCACCTGGTAGAAGGAGTTATTTATCTGTTGTTATTCTCTTTGTATCTTCCTTCATGTACAAAAGTTTTTTTTTTTTTTTAAGTGTTACTTTTTTTGTATGCCCTTTTTTCCCCAGCGCGGTGTGGATAAAACAAGGCATTTTTTTGTTCTTTTACCAACAGTACCAGCATTTGTTTTTTATTTCTTCTTTCCTCGCGTACTTCAACTTGTCACGACAGATGCATTTCTGTTAACCCTTTACTCGTATATAATTTTGCACATCGCAGTAACGCCTCACAAAATGAGCGATTTATCATGCTTATAAAAAGGATACGTGGGGCCGAAAATTTTTACTTGCCGTATGCGAGTGTCACGTCCATAGTGCTGACTAGACATGACACAAATTTGTATGCAACGGCAGTATATAGAATTCATACGCTTGGAGGCGTTCTTCATATTGTAATTGTATAAGTACGAGTGGAGTTGAAAATTTGCCACGTCAATAATAAACCAAAAAGGATGGTCCACTGGGTGTTTGTTCACATCGCAAAAGGTGGTACATAAAACATCGAGACGATTTTCATCATTTCCTACTTTGATGGATATTTCATAAGGAGTGTAAGATTCGTCTAATAAATAATTAAGGAGTAAATATATTTTCGAAATTTTTGTTAATTTAAAAAATTGTATTGTGATTGTATGTGGTCCTAAGCCGGAGGACTGCCAATATGTGTTCACATTATTGTCTTTTAATTTTTTCGTGTCCGATTTGCTTTTACTGCTTGACAATTTCCAAGTAGCCAGGCATCCCACGTCAATATATTTTTTGCTTAAGTGAATTTGGGGCATTTTCTGTATGACGCGTTCAGCATCACCATGTTTATCTTGTCTACCCCGTAAGCACAATGCTCGACTTGTTTTCCCCTCGTTCAACGCGTTGATCACACTCCATAGGAAGTCTCCTTCCACGCTTTCCGCTTTGCTTTCACATTTTACATTTGTCATGTTTTCCGTTTTATGCTCCTTTTCAATTGAATTTGGAGAAGTAGCACTAGAGTCAGATTGCGTATACCCTTCTTCATCATTCACTTTGCCCTTTCTTTCGTCTGTGTCCCCCTTTTTGGAGCCTGTACTTGGGTCCCATTTTTCTTTTGCCCCAAGTTCATAACTTTCATCCCCTTCGTCTTCCCCTACTCCACTTTCGTACGACTGTTCTCCCTCCAGGTGTGCACTTAAAATGTACTTCTCCAATTCATGACTAAATGTTAAATTCCCCTTCCTGTCTATTTTATTTGTTCCAAAAAAAGCCATATTGTGTCAAAATTGAAGCATCTTAAAGAAAAACAAAAAAACAAAAAAAAAAAAACGTTGCCTACCGGGGTGAATACTCCTTTAGTGAACTTGTTTCATTTTTGTCGTATTACATTCGGGGGGTACAAAATGTGTACGCTGCACGGTATATGTAGAGTGCGTCCGCGATACAGCCCACATGTGGAAAATTTCTCTTGTTTTCCATAAGCCCCAAAATGAAAAGGAGCCTTTGCGCGAAGTGCTTTTTTCTTTTTTTTTTTTTTTTGAGGGAGGGGCGGAACTCTATCATTCCTGTGTGTGTGTGTGTGTGCTTATATTGCGCCTTAACATCACACATAAGTGTGGACGCAAATGTTCTAAGCTAATCCCGCTCAGGTTTTTCCTACCTGAGCAGTATATATAGCCAGCCGTCGGATGGTGGTCTACTTATTCACGGTTTGAGCACCACATCGAGGGCACACATTCTTTGATTGGCCACTTAACGGCCGTAACACTTTGCTAAGTGAAGACAGCGATTCATGCCATGTGATATGGCGTAGGGCTTAAAAACCCAAGAAGTTATCGAAAGCGTATAGGATATTAAAACCTTATTTGAAATTCCAGTTAGCACTCTAAAAAAAAAAATTAATATTGGCTAAATATACACTTTATTATTTTGCTTTAAAGCGTCTAAGGTAATAATAAAAAAAAAAAAAAAAAAAAAAAAAAAAAAAAAAAGTGAATCAATGAAATGAAATAAATATATTATATAGTAAAGCTATCTATTATATATAATAATAAAATATTATGTAATAAAATATAAGATATTACCGTAATAAAATATTATGTAGTTAAATATAATAAGATATTATATAATATATGTGAAAACATCTGGAATGGAAAAAAAACCTGTGTAAAAATTGGGTGTAATATACTCATAAAAAAACATATAATAAAATAAAACATTTTTTTTTTTTTTTTGTTAAAAATATAAAAATTAATTATATTAAAAAAATTGATAAAGAAGTTTAAAAAAATATACTATACATTTTTTTAAAAAACATGGAGAAAAAAAGCCTACTACTACCTCTTTTGGTTTATTCAACTTAAACACTATATAATTTATACATAAATTACAACATATATATTTTTTTTGTTGTTGTATAAAACTCAAATGTAAAATAAAAAAGAAAGCAAAATGCAGGGGGGAGGGTGGCGGTAAAACAAATTGCAAAATATAAAAACATTAAAGCATTAAAACATTAAAAATATAATGGTATAGAATAAAAACTATTGCAGTTTGAAAAAAACAAAAGAAATGTTTTTTCAAAGTTTTAATAGCTGCTTTTATATTTTGCAAAAAGAAGGAGCTCGAGTAAAATGCCCGAAGAGGGTAGGGATTGGGAAGGATATGTTTATCATTCTCTCACAGCATCATAAAAAATATATCATCGATGAGGGTTGAGGATTGCTGGCATATAATACAAAACTGTTCATATATATAAATATGTATATATAATAGTGCAAACATCAATTTTTTTAATATATAGAAATGGACTCTTTTGTCTCAAGTTGAGTTTGTGTACACACGAGGTTATAAATATGTCACTCTCTTTGACGGGGGGGTCCATCCAATTTTTTCTTTTTTATCTTTTTTTTCTTTTTTATCTTTTTTTTCTTTTTTTTTCATTTTTTTTTGTTTTTTTTTAAATTCAATTTTTATGTCGCCTCATTCCATTCCACTTGTCATTTCCATTTTACTTGCCATCACATCTGATCACTTGGATGGATTCAGAAGATCCAGGCTGAGAAACCTCTTATCCCATTCACGGTGGTGTTTATAACGCAGTTCTTGGTGTACTTGGACGAGCTATTCAATTTATTGTTTTTATTGGCTTCTTTATAATTTGAGCACACGGACTCGTTTAGGTATTTCAGGCTTTCATCCATGGCGTAGTCTTTTTTTTTCTTTTTTCTCAATCGGAACCATTTCGTCTTTTTGTTTTTCTTTTCGAAGCAAGACTTGTAATCATTTAAACTTTTATTTTTATAATAAAAAAATTTACTGGTCCTGTCATCTCCATTGTTCACAAGATCATCAATATCAGTTAATGAACAGAAAGTCTGGTCCCTCTCATAATCATACTTATCTAATTTCTTCTTATCATAGGGGTAGTAAATGTCTATTTTGTTGCTACTGTGCTTGTACAGTCTGAATCGATGGCATGTCCTCATCAAATTGCTATCTATAAATTCGTCGTTATCGTCGCTTATGACCTCATTTTTGATTAATGATGTCTTTATGTTAATTTTGCTGTCCCTATTATCTTCGTTGAAGTTATTCCTTCGCTTTGTAAACCTTTTAAAATTCAGTCTGCAATTATATTTTCTTTTATTTTGTTTATTATGCACTTTTTGCTCATTAAAGCTATCTAATGTCATAGTCATTATTTTTATAGTTGGAAATATATATTATTTTTTGCATAATAAAAAAAAAGGTAAAGGAGGTATGCTTATTTTATTCTTATATTTTTTTTTAATAAGAAATTTATAAGCAAGAAATTGTAACGCGTATGCGTGTGTGTGTCTGGCGGCACAATCAGGGGGGAAAATATATCCTTCAGCGCGCGCAAAGACTAAACGTGTATGTTAAATATACACTTGCTAACTATATAATAGCACGAAATGGAAATCTCGCCAATGGGCAAGGAAAGAATATATATATATATATATATATATATATATACTGGGAAAAGAAGTATAATGATACACAATTGTACACTATACCGTAACGTAAAAAACGTTTTGTAATAGCGGCACGTGTTTGCAAGCAAATGGTGCTCTCGTTTGTGTGTAAATTCGCGAAATGCGCTGAGCTCTTAAAGCCTATTCCTTCTCTGCAGAGTTATGTACACGTAAATTTCGCACACAATAATATGCAAGTGGCTTGGACCTGGCAAGAAAATTTGCCTTCTTACGCAGTCATTGCCGTAACATTAGCTGAGCACATCGTGGTGAGCTGTTCACACGTACATTCGTATGTACGTATACATGTATACACTTCGTGAAGGGCCATCAATAAATCACATATAAATTTTGCGCAAATCGTATGTTTACGATGAAAACTTTGTAATACCCAAAAAAATTATACTTTGTATATAATTTTTTTTACGCATTTTCGAATATCCTTTTGTTTTTAAAAAAAAAAAAAAGGTACCGTGGCATTATTATACGTGTATAATAAACGGAAAAAAAAGGAAATAGCTAAAAAAAAAATACGCCATATGAAACAAAATCCTTTTTGGAATTTCTGCTGCAAATTTTAAAACATTCGCGATGTATTGAAATTCCTGGAAAATAAATATATTCCATACTTATGCGTGCGTAATACGTATAAATATATAAACAGCTTTTTATGCAAATATATATGTTTTACATACATTGCGTACGTTTTTATATATGTATATTTTACTCCTTCCAATTCACATCTCCACTTATAAATATGTATAAGTGGTATGGAAACTGCTTTTTCAGCAAATGCTATCAAATTATACACTTACATATTTGCTATTTTAAATAGTCCTATGTAATATTCAAAAGTATTATATAAAAACAAAATAAATGTAAAATTAGTTTTAATTAACTTGATTAATTAAAACAGGAAAAACGAAGATATGAGAAAATCCAGTTTTTAAAGATAAAAAATTTGTTTATAAAAATATGTTTTTGCCGCTTTTTGTATTTTAAATTTAAAAATTTTTAATTCAAAAAAAAATATATATATATTTTATATATATTTTAATTTTTGTTGTTTGCGTAAATTAATTCAATATGCGTAAAATAATATATAAAATAGTATGAATTAAAATTTTATTTTTAAAAAGTAACGAAATTGAAGGAAATGTTCACCAGCCAACAGTTCGCTAATTTGCATAATTGACGCATGATGTATGCGTGTTTTACTTATTATGCATACTGTAACGGTATGTATTATGTATATTATTTAAAATGTTCATTTAATTTTCATTTTATTTTTTTTATTTTGTTCCCTTTTCCCCGAACGATTTCAGAAAAAACCTGCGCTACGCCGCACTTTATAAAAAACCATTGGGCGTAATAGCACAATGATACTTTTTTAAAAGATGGCCAATGGGGGGAAATAAACGACATTGGGACACGCAAATAAATATAAGTGCGAACAATCCATAGTAGGCAAATGATGAAAATCCCCTGACTCTCTCTAAAAAATTAAAGCATTCTTAAAATGCACCTGTGGCACATTTATATGTAGACGAGCCGTATTCTATATTCGCGTAAACAGAGAGATTATAAAACAATACGTTAGGTTGGGGGGGTTCCGCCACCTTAAACAAAAAACTGCGCTAACGTCAAAATAGCGTTAACAACATATAGAAAACAGGTAGAGTTACAACGACGGTGACGTTCCCAATACCCGTGGAATTGTACGTTCAAATTATTTGAAGCAATTTCGTTAAAGCCCTCCGTGGGTGCGCATATACGTATGCGTAAATCCCGCGCCTCTGCTTTTCCCCCGCATCTCCGTTGCCTTCCCATTTCTGGCCTTAACATATTTAGAACTACCACAAAAAACACTGAAGTACAAGGAAGGACATAAAGAATAAATTATATGTCAACAAAATAAGTTGCCTTTTTAGTTGCAACCACTCGGTGCGACGCGCAAGCGAGCGAGCGAATTAGGTGGACATTATATGTTGCACGTAGCATTATGCGTTGTTTCCTACCCGGTATAAAACATGCATTATTACATATATATATATATATATATATAAATAAAGGCAACAATAATATAGGTGACAAGTGTTTCTGTCAAACGTTACACCCCTTCCACTACACCTCAACTTCACGTCATCCTTCCATATTCATTCGTGCTATCCGAAGTGACTAAAAAAAAAAATATTTTTTTTTTTTTTTTTTATGTTTTGTTCTTCTCTACGCGAGCAACATCGTGTAAATTTGACGTTTGAAAAGGTCGTAACCATTTTGCAAATGTGACCAAAGGGGCCTCTTATTAATGCTCGTGTTATGTAGAAAAAAGGCATGTTAGTAAAATATAAATTTATTTAAATATGCATTTAATAGCGGTGGGCATGATTGTAACTTGTATTGGTTATATGTAGGCCATATTGTGCATACTAAATATATGCATTTATTTGTACGCTTGATTATGATTCACCCCCCTTTGTGGTGTATTATGAAACTTGCAGGAAGCGCCTTTTTTCATTTTAGCAGAATAAAAAGAGGTGTTTGCATTTTTAAATGTGTTCCTTCCCTTTCTTAAAAAAATTGAAGAAACACACCGCTGAAAAAGTGCAACCCTTTGAAGTTAAAGATACAGGGAATATTAATGTGTTGTTAACTATGTGCATATGAGTCATGTACGTCGTTGTGCCCTTTCGTTTTCATTCCCTGTGAACAATTGGAATAGCAAATAAAATTTCCTCGGTGTGATATAAAATGAGGGAGCATGTTATACTGGAAGAAAACAAAGAATATTCATTTATGTTAGAAAAGAACATAATTATGCAAATATGTATGGAGCAGCAGAAATGATTAGTTGTAGTGTTGTCCTATAGCACAGTATACTATAGCTATTGGGGGAAAGAATGTTACAGTTATGACAAAAGGTTTCTTCCCATTAAAAGGCATTTGATGTGCTGTGTGGTTTTGCGTGTCCACCTCGCTTCAATTTTGCCTTCTTTTCTGCGTTCAATTTTGCGTTCTATTTTACGTACATTTCTCCATTTTTTTCTTGTTTTCCGTTTGTTTACTTTTTTTTCCCAGTGGGAACGGCATTTTCTAGCCAAAATGACACAAATTTCCCGCTCGTTCATTAAGGTTCAAACGAGAGGAGAAAACAAAAACTCAAATTTACATTGAATACATTTCCACACCTGTAGAAGCGTTGGTTTGAAGGTGACAATATGTGTACACGTGTGTACCTTTGAAAAAACCTTTTTTAAAATTGCTTCCACAAAAGATAAAGGTCAAGTAAAAAACACCTTCAATTTATGTGTGTTGATTTAGAGACTTTTTTTTTTTTTTTTTTTTTTAAATGAACAATGTTGAAAAATTGGCAAGGTGTTAACCTCATTTTTGTAAAAAAAAAAAAAAAAAAACAAAAAAGCAAAAAAATTAAAACAGCTATAAAAAAAAAAAAAAAAAAAGTACACATTCGCGTATGTATTTACATCAGTTAAATGACAAATTACAATCAAAAAGTGTAACAAATTCTATATGTGTTCAAACGGGTGAAAAAGGCAAACTTTTTTTTGTTCAGTTATATATGGATCACGCTAGGTGGAAACAAACAAGCGCGCACACATGCTTGACAAAAAAAAAAAAAAAAAAAAAAAAAAAAAAAACATCGAAAAGGTTATACCATAGTGTAGGTTAAAAATGCACAACTTGTAAATTTATTCTTTCGAACATTTTTTTCAAATGGTTAAAACAACATGAAAAAAATACTCCTATATGTGTTGACAAATGTGTAAACGTCTCATGGGAATAAGAACAACCATTTTTTTTTAGCTATTTTTTTTGGATGGCCTTGTTCATTTCGACTTCTTTACATTCGGTCTATTTCATTTTTACCAAAATTTGTGGCGTTCATTTGACGCGCATTGGATGAGCATTCCGTGGGGCCATTTATTTCTCACCCTCATAGCAGTCAGTTTGCCTTGCTTTGTGATCTCCATTGTATAATTTTGTCCAACGCTGGATAACTCAACATAGCGGTCCTTCCCATTGACAACGAACGGATGGAGAATTAAAAAAAAAAAAAAATGATTAATTTTGAGCCGAGTAACAGCAGTGAAAAGAGAAATGAAAAAAAAAATACACGAATTCAGCTGCATAAATTTGGATGAAGAAAAAAGAGAAGAAATAAATGATATGCTAAAAAATTTAAAAAATGAAGAGAGAGATTTGTGCTTTTCTCTGTTAGACTTTTACTTTCTCAATAAGAAATTTAAGTACCAACATCTGCGGCAAAGTCTGGAGATAAATAACAATGTCAATGAGTACATCAATTTGAAGCTTCTGCGGAAGGAAATTATCCCCAAGGATGCATCCTTCAAGACGGAGCAAAAAAATAGAGAAATGCTTGTGCACAACAAGTTGAACAACCAAATGGCGGAGGCTTTCCTGAAGGAGAGGAATGACCTGAGGAAGGACAGCCAAAGCAGCAAGCGTGTTAGTAACCATTGCTCCACAGAGGGTGTAATCAAAACAGAAGCCGCTACCATAGGGAACATGGATTTTCCACATGACCTCCCCACCATGTGGAGGACAAACGATATCATAGGAACATTTAACCCTGTGTATAATGCGCGAGATCAAATAATGAATGATAATTGTATTGACTCGATTCCCACGATAGATATTTTTTACAACTCCTCAAAATTGCTTACCATACAAACCGTGTTTGAGCCAATCAGTAATTATATATACCTGTTACGGCTGCTTCCCAAGTTCTGTCTACCGCTGTACGATTCAGGAATATTGCAATACGCATGTGAAGACCCGATTTTAAATCCTAAATTAAGAGGATTAGAGATATCCTACAGATTACTAGTGCATGACATTTTATTTTATGCCTTTTTTTCATATTTGTCAGATTTGCCATTTTGGGCCAAGCCACCGATTGAACTTCTCCGAATTTATAATTACGAAAGTTTATACTCGTTTAATGATTACGAGTCGGAACACACAGAAAGGCTTGTCTTTCACAATATAAAAAACATTTTGTACAATTTTCCAGACACGCTAAATAAAATTGAATTGTTGTATCCAAAAAATTATTACATCACAATATTTCCCAACATTTATTTTAAGAACATCATTGAGTTTTTAAAAAGTGAAAAATTCAAGTTAAAAAAAATTGTAGTTGTTTTGAAGGGGAAAAATTTCATTGATGAAAAAATGATACACCACATCAAAAGTAACCTTGAGAATTTTAGAGGCATGACAACGGAAAATGTGAAAAAAGAAATACACCACAAATATTTTCCCTCCAATAATGGAAGAAACAAAAATGAAACAATAAGATACGACACCAAAAGTGTAATAGATGCCATTAAAAGGTGTCATAATTATGGTGAGGATTTTTTCTCTCTTGCCAGGGGGGGAGTTGTACCCACCACAAATGAGAGAACAAGATGCACATCAAACTGGAAGGAACGAAAGGACATATCAGCAGGGGGTGACCAATTGGGAGTGGAAAAAAATCATCAAAGTGACAAACATAACAGTGCGCTTGAGCCCATTCGCAGCAACGGCGAATCGAGTGGCACTTCCCCGGATAGCACATATCCAAGTGAAAACAACAATCACGCACATAATGAAAGCACAACATGTAGTAATTATATCATGCGGGGGGAAAGGACACCAATAAATGGCCCCGGGGAAGGCATCTCCAGTGGGCCGGAGGAGTCAAGGGACACCCCCAACAGTGGCGACAACAGCATCCGCAGCAGTGGAAGCAGTTGGAAGAACTTCCCCTTTGAGGACATCAACATAAACGACAAAGCAGATCAGCAAAGGAGCCATGTTGATCAATATGATGGCAACCAAAATGGAGAACAATGCGAACGCTTAAGCGCTAGCGAACAAGATAGCGTTGAAGATAACTCCTTTAGGAAAAAAAACCAAATCGATATGTCCGACAAGTACAATATAGATAAGTCCGTGTACAATATGTACTACCAGCAGGAGAACAGCGGACAGGAGGAACATGGCTCCATGTTGGAGAAAACAAGATCCCAAAATAGGCAGTGTAGCAACTCGTCCGAATCGTCATGCAGTGAAGATGACGAAACGGACGATGAAAACATTGATGGGTTTTTTAAAACAAAAAAATTAAAAAGTACAGTGTATGATAAGGACAACTTTTCGTTTTCCAAATTTATGAACAAAATTATAAATTACGAAAAGATCATTGACTACCTGAACAACGACCCGCAACGCCAGGAAAGCGAAGACTCGAAGATCAAGTTTTATATTAAATTGTTGCTGTTCGAGAAAGCTAATTCGCCATATGATGCGAATGGATGGACAAATGTCAGTGATGAAGAAGATCAGGTTAGAAGCACTACGTTTGTGTCGGACAATGGGCATAGCGACGGATCACCACCCCTGGGGGAGGATTCCTCCATTCGTACCAATGTTACAGTGTCACCTACGGATGACGATGATAATCTCTCGGGGGCGCACCAACGGACGCAAAGAGACGGGGTCACCTCGTCTAGCGCTACCCTCTGTTCCTCTGTCCCGGAAGGTACTACCATGGGAGGAAATAATAACAACGCTGCGGAGAGCACTCAGGCCTCCCTATCCCTAAACAACCAAAACGTGAACGAAACACGCACACAGGAAGGGGAAGCAGTTTTGAACATAACTGAGGATGACCATGTGGAAATTTCATCGGATTATATCAGTAATCTTATACGGAATTTACGCGAAACTTACGGAGCCACTAATTTCTTATCCTTCAGCAGCAACGAAGGGGACGCCCACAACGGTACCTTTAATTTAGACGATGTGCAGGATTCGCAAACAAGGTTGACCTTTAACTTTAATTAGAACTGAGTTATGGCCATTTGCATAGGGGAGTTCATTTAGCGAGTAGTATGGTAGTGTGTGGACAGGCGCTTTTAAATGTTTGTCTGTCATGTCTACACATTAATGGTCCACTTTTGTTTTTTCTTCCTTCTTTGGGGATTCGTTTGTTAACCCTCCGTCACCGATTATTCCTTCCGCGCCTTTTAATTTTTTTTCTTTTTTTTTTCACCACGTGGTGTGTACACGTACAAGTACAAAATATAGCATAAGCGTAGGGTCATTTTTTCTTTAAAAAAAAAATATTTGTTTTATTAAGTTCATGAGCTTTTTTTTTTTTAAGTATATTTTTCCGTGTGCATATGCATAACAAAATTTGATGTTATATTTGGAAAAGCGGCATGTAAGAGAAAATATGTGTCCATGTGCATCTGGTGGGCCTCTTTCCATGGCATGCTAACAACACAGGTTAAGTAAGCCTTGTGCCGCTTACCTAAGTGTAGCAGCGCTTTTGACTAGGGTTTTACCCCTGGGACTTTTGGCTAGCTTGTGTCTTTAAAAAGTCCTTCTGTATGGCCTCAATATCTAGGTTGTACTTATCCGGGTTCTTGACTTTCTTAATAAGGTATCTTTTTTTCTTCTGTTTGTAGTAAATTCTAATAGGCGTGCCCCGTATATTGAAGCTGTCTCTTATTCTGCTTTCCAGATATTTTGTGTAATTTTCATAAGCACACTTTTGAGAATTACAAAAAAAAACAAAACCGGGAGGTTTAATATGTGCCTGAAAGGCATAGTAAATGTTTAGCGACTTGTTCCTGATGGGAATTGGAGGTCTAAGAAGTAGAGCTTCCTTTATAACATCATTCAAACTGTTTGTGTTTATTTTTCTTGTGTACTGCTTATACGTCTCTTCGGCATTATCGAATATGTTAAGCAACCTTTGCGACGTCTTTGCAGATATGAACAAAATGTTAGCAAAATCAACTGGCTTTAAAAGATTAAGAACATAATTTTTGGTGTCATTGAAAATGTCATTTTTGTTATATATCAGATCCCATTTGTTGCAGCAAATTATACAGCTTTTATTTTCCTTCACAATTTTTCTTGCTATATTTATATCATGTGAGCTGATGCCATTAAAGGAGTCAATGACGAGGATGCAGACGTCACTACGTTTGATAGCCTTTTCAGTTCTATTAAATAGTAAGTATTCATATTTTGTTTTTTCGTTAAAGGGGACATTCTTTTTCCTTTTTTGTATTCCAGCAGTGTCAATTAGTCTATAAATCCTATCGCTGTCTTTAATCTTTACTAACACGTCAATCGAATCAACAGTGGTTCCTGCTATCGGGGAAACGATGAAACGATTACAGTTGAGGATTTTATTTAATATACTTGACTTCCCTGTGTTTGGTTTTCCGATAAAGCTTATGTTTATGGTGTTTTCTTCATTTTGTTCTTCTTCCATTTCGTTTATCTCCACTTTTTCTATGTACTTGATGCACTCGTCTAAAATTTCGGTCAGCCCATTTCCATGGATCCCACTGCAGGGATAGGGCGTTCCGAACCCTAGTTCCCAGAAGTTTTGCGCCTTCACATTTCCATCCTTGTACGACTCGCACTTGTTCACGCATACTATGACTTTCAGCATGGCTTTCTTCAGTCCCTCATTTTCGTGTTCTTCTTCTACTTCTTCCTCATTCGCTTCTTCTCCCCTTTCTGCGTTCATCATGTCAGCGCCATTGTGAGAGCTTCGGGACGTCGTGTCCGTTTCAGACTTGTTCAGTGCGGACACTTCGGACTCATCCTCCGATGTGCTGCTACCTTTCGGTGTGTCCTCCGGAGAGAGTTTCCCAACTTCATCATGGTTAACCTGGCCGGCCCGCTTCTTCCGAGTGGCCATTTTACTAATATACTCGTTTTTAATGTACTTCCTGAGGAACCTGCATATCTCGAGGTCCATGGGATGGACACCGTTTATCCCATCAACGACGAGCAACACGACTGAGGACTCCCTAAGCGCTAACAAAATTTGATCTCGTATTTGCTTGGAAAATTTTTCATCTTCGAATATGAGGCCACCTGTGTCTACCACCTCAAATTTGTAACCATCCCAATCCACCTCTCCATAAATTTTGTCTCTTGTGGTACTTTCTCCTAGGACGATGCTACCCTCTTGGAACTTCCTCGTCAGTCGGTTGAATATGGTCGATTTTCCAACATTCGGTCTCCCTATAATAGATACCAGGGGTAGGTTTCTTATGATTTTTAGGTCGACGTCTTTTTTTTTCCCTTTCCGTTCTTGATGCGGTTCGCGCAGCTGTTCGATAGACAGGTCGCGGGTTTCTTCTGTATGTGCTTGGGCACTTTCCTCCCCCTCTTCACCTTCGTTTTCTTCGCCCTTCTGTGCCTCTTCCTCAATTCTCATTTGGCTTGCATAATCTTCTCCCTGCTCGCAAAACGCTCCCTTGGTCTGCTCCTCCCTCGCTGCGATTTTTCCTATATGGCGTTCCCAATCTTGCGCCGTATCACTCACAAAATGGACATCCTTTTGGTGTCCCTTTTTCCTCTGTTCATGTTCATCATGATCTGCGCTCCCATGCTCATTGTCCACCTCTTCTATCCTTGTCTCCTTAGCGAAGTCATTTTCTTGAGTTCCCCTCACCTGTTTGTCTGTTTGATCGTCTATATTGGTACCTTTGTGTGTAGGCTGCCCATTTTTAGCGCTACAATTATTTCTTAAATTTCCCTCCTTGACGAATATTTTAAAACGGTAAACATTCTTTTTCAGTTTATTGTGTTCATTTAAAAAGGGGACATGAGAGGAATAACTCAGAGGGCAAAGATTCTTCTTCTTTTGTACCTTGTTCTGAAAAAATAAATTACTTACATCAAGATGATGCACAATTTTAATCATGTAACTATTGCAAAATTGTAAGAGGGAAAAAGTAATAATTGTTAAGAGGAAGGAAACTTTTAATATCATAATAAGAATTATTTATTATGATTTTTTCCAACGTTTCAATTTTTACGCGCCCGGGTGTACACTTGTGAATGTTGGCGCCTGGCTGATGTAGCTACTCATGTGTGTAAATAAACACATTTTGCGGAATGCTACTTCTGGGATATAATGCTCGTATAAGGCATGCGTTTCCACATAACTTTGTCTCCTTCATTTCAGCATGGAAGAAGATAAGCTGTAAGTACAACGCCGTTCTAAGGGGGATGAAGTGTGTATGGAGGGGGAAATGAAACCCTCTGGAAGTTACCACATCGACAATGCGCCAAATTTAAGCATTGTGGAAAATGTGTTACATTTTTTGTTGCCTTACATTTCACAGTCAGCAGAACATGTGGATGAAAATGACCCGCGCATGTATGTCACAAAAGAGGAGGAATGGCCAAATGAGAGGGCGCGCGAAAATTTAACATAATAAAAAATTAGGTACAGAGTATTGGTTTGACCATGTCAACATGCGTGCATAAATTGGAGGGAGCAAAATGGAGAATGAAAACTCACTCGTTCTTTAACTGACCCTTAAGAATCCCTAATCATACCAAATGGAATTACTTAAAATAGCAATTTTAATGTTACCGATGTGCAGACGCCGTTTCGTTAAGGGTTCAAAAAAAACACAGTGGGCATGATGGAAATACGCAGGGAACCTTCCATGATGCGTAGGGCACGTGATATCATTTTTCTTTTTTTTTTTTTAAGTTTTAAAAAATGTCCGAAACTTATACCTCACTATTTTGACAGTAAAAAATAAATTTGTCAATTTATACTATTTACGTTAAGTTCGAATGTTTTTTTTTTTTTACTGGGAAAAAATTAAAAAGTTCAAAAATAGATCAAATGGGACAGCAAATTTGTTATTCTGCAAAAATGTCCGCAACGGAACATACGCAGGTAACGGTTAATGTTTAAAAGGGCGGAGTATGTATGGTAAAATAGTGGTCAGCTACTTCTTTGAAATGCACTAGGCACAAAACGAGAAGAAGGCGGCCTACACAGCACCTACACACAAGGGGATTGACACACGTGTATATCTGCACGAGTGCACAAAAAGGGGTGTATTCTTTGAATGGGTGTCCAAAAAGCGCAGTGGATGCGCCCTTTTGCACATCACTTTGGACATCTCCCAACTGTTACAATGTTCTTCACCTTTCCGTTTCAAGTTAAAATGGAGAAACTTGTTCCTTTTTTTTTTTTTTTATTATACCCCCTCCTACATTGGGACATTTTTTCCATTGGAGCGGGCACAAAAATATATAAGTGTACTTAACATGCCTGTGAACATTTACAAAGAAACAGACTTGTTCCCCCCAAATGACGTATCAAATATTCTCCATGTTATTCATCAGTTTCCTTTTTTTCGATTCAGTCACTTGTTTTCTTTTCTCCTTCTCATAGGTAGCTTTTCTCTTAGCTTGTTCCGACGTGATGCACTTTTGTTCCTTACTCCCCTGATTGTTGTTAACCCCCTCTTCTTTTAATTTGTCAAATTCGTTCACATTTTTATCAAAAATAAAATCATCGGCAAAATCGATTATAAGATGTCTTCCATACAAATGGGTATGCTGTAGTGATTCTATCGCTGTGAGGCATTCATTTTTTGACATAAACTCAACAAATGCATAACCTCTACTTCTGTTATATGCATTTTTAGGTATTCTGACACTTTTGATATTTCCAAATGCAGAAAATAATTTCCTTAATTCTTCTTTCGTCACTTGGAAGGCTAAATTTTTTACTAGCAACTTTTTGCTAATTTTTTTTTTTTCCTTAACTACCTCTTTTTCTTCATTATTTTTATTTTTTTTTTTTTTAACTCTGTTACGAGAAAGACTCAGCTCCAGTACATGTCCATCCAGAGTTGTTGCTGTCAACTTTTTGATGGCCTCAAGAGCTAACTCTTTGCTTTTAAATTCAACAAAACCGTATCCTTGAGACATCAATTTCTGTTCTGGCGCTTTTCCCTTTTCGTGATTCTTGTTCGATATGGCCTTCTTGCTCTTCACAATATTGCAGGTTATAAATCCTTCCAATTTTTCGAATAACTTTTTTAGGTCTTCTTCCTTGGTATTGAAGTTCAGATTCTTGATGTAGATGCTGGCGTGCGTAATTTCTTCATCACTAGACTCGCTTTCGCTATAGTGTTGTTGCTCCTTGGGGGCCGCTTTCTTTTCAGACTTTTTGACTTCATCTTTGGCGGGTACTTCTCCATCCTTCATCTCCCCCTTGTTACTGCTGCCATCGCCATCCTGGTCTCCCTTCCTCTCGAACAGGTTCATGGGGGCCCACTCTAAATAGAGTGGCAGCTTCTTATACCGTATGTACGAGTTCGATATGAAGGCCTTTTTGGCGTTTTCTGCTTTTTCGAACTGCAGTATGGCTATATTGTTATAGGGGGAAAAACTAACTTTGCTCAACACACCATACTTCTTAAAAAGGCTTATTACTTCCTTTTGGTTTGTTTGAATGCACAAATTCTTTACTATTATGGTATCATCACTCCGTTTGTACTTCACAATTTGATTCACACGGCTGGGTTCCTCCCCAGAAGGGTTATCTCCGTCCGCTTTTTTTTCCGTTTCTCCACTCGGTTCTCCACCCTCGTCCTTCTTTTTATATATCTGCTCGAAAGCCTCCAAGTAAATCCCTTCCTTCTTTATCCACTCCTTCATTTTGTTAATTATGTATGTCTCCGTTAGGGAAACATTAACGGCAATATTCCTGTCCTTTATATTTAGTATAGAATTGGGGCTACATTTATTTTCCTTGCAGAAACTGTGAATGCTCGAGTTTATGTCTGTGTAGAGAATATTCCAAATGTTTTCATTTTGGCAGTTCCTCTTTTTTTGAATTTCCAATATTTTCTTATATGATGTTTTTGAATCATGAGATAATTTAATGAACACATTATTTTTTCCTTTATCTGCATATTCATAGTCTCCCAATTTTTCTTTAGCATATTTAACGCTTAATACTTTTCCCCTAAAAATGGCATTGTTTAAGAAATGCTTGGCTCGCTCGCAGGCGCTGGGGAACATAAAATTGACGAAGGCGTATACCTTTACATTTGTAAGGTCACTGTTGACGATAGACTCGTTTCTGTTGCTTCCGTCTTTATTTTTCCAATCTGCACACTCCCCATCGGCTATTTCTGTGTCTTCCCTTTTCATCATACCACTGTCAGCTTCATCCAACTTTTTTTTTTTTTTCTTTTTTTCCCTCTCCTTTTCGTTTACAAACGAGTCGTGGTTTTCCTTCAACAGTTTTATAAAAAAGTCATCACTAGATTTGTTGTTTTTTTTCTCATTCAAATTTAGGGCAACTGCTCCTTTTTTTACATTCTTAAAGACCTTCACATCGACGACGGGGCCAAATCTTTCGCACAGATTCTTTACGTCCAGTTCGTTTACGGGAGGCATGTTAAAGATAATAATTTTCCCGGTGTTCATATTTTCATCATCCTCCTCGTCCAGGGCATTATCCGTTTTTTTTTTTCCTTCCTTTTCGTCGCTGGACAGATTGCTCGCTGTACTCGTGTCGTCCTCGAATAGACGATTCTTTTGGGCACTTTGATCTTTCTGGTCATTTTTGTCGCAGTGGACATTTTTATCACTTTCCTCCCCTTTCGAGATTTTTTTCAGCCAATCTAGGGCCTTTTCCTCCTCTTCCTCTTCCTTTTCTACGTCACTTTGCGCGCCATCGCTTGTATCAGCATGGGCAGCATCATCCCTATTGCCTTCCTCATCAATGTACCCCTCAGCATCAGCTGTGCGTGCCTTCTCCGCTGGTTCCAACCGTTCGCAGGGGGTTTCCCCACTCTCAGAGTTATCTCCTTCCATTTGTGTTTTCTTTTTTTTCTTCTTCTTTTTCTTCATCTTCTGCTTCTTGTCATCCTCCCCAACATCCCCTTGATCCGGTTGCTCATCTAAGAATATGACGTGGCTCCTTGTGGTGCTCATCCCGGCTTTGGTTTTCTTGATGGGTATGGTTTTGTTGACAACATTTTCATTTTTTACAATTTGCACAGACTTGTCTTTCTTCATTTTTTGTATGTCCGCTATACGTTTAAGGGCATACGAACTGGCGTTTCTGCTCTGCTGTGCATTTTTGGAAATAAGTGGAGAAAAGGCATCTTCAACGACAATTTTGCTAGTATTAATGTAGGTGTTATTAAAAGATTTTTTAAAATTTTCACAATCTGTGTTGTTAATAAAACCTATGAAGCAAATTTTTCTGGACTCAAAAAATTCTTTATTTTTGACAAGTTTTTTTCTCTTCATAATTTTTATATCTGTTATTTTAAATTCATAATTCCCTTTCATTTTAAAAAAGTGTTTTTTTAAATCCATTTCGTTCATATACTTTGGGACATTTTTTATGATCAATCTTGTTTTGTCATAGTTTGATTCATTTTGGAAGGGTCTATTGTTGCAGTTGCTGTCGGCCGTGTCCACGTTGCCGATGCTGGTCCTGGCGTAGTCCATCATTGTGGCTTGCTGTGGGTAAAAGCTAGCCTAATAGAGTCTCCACCTTAGCACAAATATATGGGCTAAAAATCCATATGGCGCATATATTTACGTGTTTTTTCAGTGTAGAGATATACTTGAATATTTTTCATACATGTCCCGTCCCACTGGTTAAGTCCGTTCCTACATGAGGGCGTAAACTCCTGATTCGTACGATGGTATATAACTTCGGAATGATGTTTTATTTGACTTTCCTCCGTCAACTACGCTTCATTCGGAATTTTTCATCGTTTTTTCCTCGTCTCCGCAAAAAAACTGATTAGCTGGATGATACATTCATAACATTTGCTGACTAAAGACTACAGCATTCTTTTTAACAAAACAGGTCCCTCTGCCCCAAAACTGGTGTATACCCAAATGGGGGTCTTCACTCAAACAATAATAAATTGAGGGTGGTACACGTGTATATATCCCTAGTTTGGGAAAAACATGCCCTATTGGAACTGCTTGCAAAGAATATGCAATGCAGGAGTTAATTATACGAGCAACAAAAAAAAAAAGGGTAGAAAACAGGATTAAATTTACATGTCAATATATAAAAAACTTAACGTCACCTAAATATAATACATGGACCCTTTTGTTCTTTCACAGACTTGCGCGGAAGTTCTTGGTTTCTTAAAAATTGAGAAGCTTGCAATGTGGTACATGTGGTAATCCTACAGGGGAAAAATTGAACCGCTTGAATATTTTTTTTTTTTTTTTTTTTTTTTTACCGCGTTAAAGTGCATACGTTATTTTATGTAACAACGTGATGTAGTTGTTCGCAATAAGTTTCACGTAAACTTATAATCGCCTTTCTTCGATTCCACTTTTTTCATGTCACAAATGAGTATCCCTTTTTGGAAAAGCATAATTATGTCTCACTGTACGAATAATAATGGTCTTAATGTAAGCACGATTTGACTGAACAAATTTGTGGTTGCACAGAAAATGATAAAATATAATAAGCGAAAATGAACAATTTGGAGTTTTCTGTCCTTCCTTTTTTCCTCTTGTCCCTTATGCACGAAAAATCAGCCAATGGCAATAACCGCATTTGTACTCGCAAAAGTGGACCAAAAAAAATGCCATTTTTGTTACGCATATATTGGAAGAAATGTATAGGCACATGGTGACGGAAATGTTGGTCCCGTTTTTTTTTTTTTTTTTTTTCGCATAAATGTATAGTAGTGTATACATTATATCCCCAATAATGAAAAAAAAAAAAAAAAAAAAATTAACAAATGGTTTGCAAAGACTGGCTAAGGTAGGTTCTTTAAAACTCCCATTTTTCAGCGCAACGTCTGATCAATCTTTCGCACTTTATCCATGTCTGACTCATTTTTCGTTTTTACGAATTTGTCACATTGCGACGGCTACAACATCATGCATGCGTAGCGATGAGGCTATACCGCATTTACGTGCACAATGCACACGTCCTGTACATAACGCCTGCAGCGCGTTGTACCACATTTATTCAGTGATTCATTTATGTGTGTACGTATCTAATCGCTCATCCGCTCGACTGCTCATGCGCCCGTCCACCTGTCTACTTGCCGACTCATCCACGCGTCCATTTACCCACCTGCTTCACTACACCTGTTGCTAACAAATGGCCGCTCAAAATGCGCGACGACGTGGACGTGACAAGTCTACTGGAAAAATACACTCTGAATTTTCTTACATCCCTACTGGAGAAAAAGAAAGAAAAAAAAGTTTTGTCAAAAGGGAAAATTCTTGACATGACAAGACTGTTCTGCATCATCGAAATCGTTTCGAAAAATTTAAAGGACAATATGCATTCCACATTAAGACAAATATTTTACACAAACCCACAGTTGTTCATGTCGCAAAAGGTTTCAAATGTAGCCATTGGAAGGCTAACAAAAATTATAAAAATTCCTAGAGAGTTGTTAAACATTTATAATTCCCCCAAAGGAATAATCAGAGGAAATATTTTCCTCCGGGAAAAAAATTCAAGTAAAATATAAAACCGCGCAACGATGATTTTATTTTCCGTCAATCTCGTCTACACAGATGGCATCTTATAAGTGCTCATTTATATATATGGGCACAGAACACTCTTCAACTAAAGCACTTCCAACTCCTTTTCGCTTTAGGCCCATGGGTTGACTGCATGAGTATTTTTGAAGTCCGTCAAAGGGAACATATACCACAAAAGCCGTTGAATATGGCCGTACCAACCAAACGCACACAACGCATGTCTACACATGTAGTCAATGCAGTTAATTAGTGACATGCTTACTTCCCATGTTATATGTCGCTCAACGCATTACATACATTTTCTCATTTTTCACTTCATCAATTTTGAACGCACATTTTATCCTACGTTGTACTCCCGTTGTGTACCGTATGGTTTATGCTCATTTTCGCATGCGCAAGGGCATTCCCTCCTTCACACCTTTTTCAGACAAGAGGGCATTTTATATGCCCCTTTGGAGTTTCCGATATAAAAATTTCGCCTGATGTGAAATATGTTCTAATAGTAGAAAAGGAGACGATTTTTTTTAGGCTACTTCAATCGGATTTCATTTCGAATTATGGGCCCTGCATTTTGATTACGGCCAGAGGGTTCCCAGGTTGGCACTATCGGACATGACTCCGAGGGGGAGGTGCACAGACATATGGGAACGCATGTATGTACGCGCCTATGCACATATGATACATGTATATATGTGCACACCGTTCCGCGTGATCCCTCTTTTACAGACCTTAACACCAGGCAACTACTTTACGAAATCCGTAGATGCAACAAAGGCTTGAAGATTTTCTGCCTCACCGATTACGATGTTTATGGTTATTTCGAGTGGGATGCGTAGAGAAATAGGCACGCGGCAGTGTCATTTCGCTCCTCTTCGTATCGTTCTTCTATAAGCGCTGCAACGCATGCGTTCAGGCGATAACATTTTTTTATTTTCCTCACAAAGGTCTAAGCATAGCGTTCACATATACCTCGAAGGTGGAGTCAAAAGTTTACTGTTAAGATGCAATGTGTTGAAAAAAAAAAAAAATAATAAAATAAAGGACGATTTTTTTTTTTTTGGTAATGATGCAAGACAATATATTCCTTTTTCCTTATCATCCCATTCTTCATAAATATAGACGTAGACGACGTATCCATTGATAATTTATGCTGGGTCAATTTGTTCCCCCCGGAGGAAGGGGTTCAAAAACAAGTTTTAAAAGACATTGACATAAATAAACTGACCTTAAGGGACATCCGGATGTTGGACAAGTGGGGATTGGCATAATTTGCATCTTCCCTCATACATGGGGCGATCGCATAGACTGGACACCAGTGGGAAGTAGCAACGCGTTATGCAGAATGGTTGTTCCTATTTTTTATTTTCCCCATTTTTCTACCTTGTAGCTTTTGCGAGACAGTAAAAAGTAGCCGCAAATTCCGGTCCTCTGAAATTATCGCTTGGACGTAAGGGGGAAAAAAGGAAAAAAAACGCATGCGCGTGATGAGAAGCAAATGAGGTGGGTGGTTATGATCTGTGTGGACATTCCCCACTTCATTTCTCCTTTTCACGCTTTTTTTTCCCCCCCTTGAAGGGAACACGCTAACCAAATGAAAACTTCCGGCGTGAAATACGAAGTAGATGCAATCCAGGATATTGAGAAACATTTGAGCATAAGAATTGGGGAACTCCTTTGAGTGTGACGATGACAAACAATTGCACACACCCCCCGTGGCATACAGTTGGATGAGCGCCAGGGGATTCTCAATACACGCTTATATGCACATCCATGTGTCCACCGTTTTGCTTCATTTTTTTGTTTTGTTTCCCACAAAGGGACATGCATAAAAGCGCGTCATTCGTTGCTTACGTAACACACACTTTTGGGTATGCCATTTTTTGATCCTACTATTTGTGTCCTCGAAGTACTAATCACCCCGCTGACAATCCACAAAAACACGCCATATCTGCAACTTTGAAATAATCACCGCAGAAGTGCACCCATGTATAATTCCAAGTGTAAAAAAAAAAAAAAATGATAAAAAAAAAATTAAGAATTAAAAAAACAAAGTCATAGGTACACGCATATGCAGTGTCGTGGATGATATGCCCCTCCCCCGCATATAACAAAAGCAGCCGACCGATAAATTAAGAAACGAAATATGCGCTTGTAAATTTGAAGCATAGAAAAATATGGATGGTACGAATTCTCAAAAAAAGGGGGCCTCAATACATTATTTAACATGATAAACCCTCCTCTTATGATTAATTCCTGTACGTTGAGCTCTCCAGAAAAGTTCGATCCTTTCATCTGAGCAAAGGTTTCAAATGCCTCTGGACTAGTGGTCTTCACTATTATGAACCAAAGCAGGATAATAGTGCTGTGGCACTTACTGGGCAAAAAAAAAGTGAAATGACAGATAGGCGTAAGTACACATACAAGCTTATCTACGCGCATGTATATTTACCCGCACGGGGGTGAACGACGTATCGGAAAGAAGGAACACAGGTACACATGTAAAAATATAAAAGGATGGTATACAGAACGACGGAAGGAAGGATACTCCCTTTTTTTTTTTTTTTTTCTTTCTATTCACTTGCAGTTTATACTATGTTGAAAAACTGCTTGGAAAACTTAGTCCGATTTTCTCACCAGTGTGTAAGACATTGTTGCAAAAATAAAAATGAAGTGTTACTAATAAAAAGATTTTCCTTTGCCACGAACGCAATTTGTATGGGACCCCACAGAGGTAGCCTTTTGAGTGGCTTTTATTTCCCCCTTTTAAAATACCATTTTAACTTTATGTTAAAGAAGCAAATAAGCACAAAGCGCAGAAGGTACTTTAAAATTAGAAAACACCAGAAAAAAAAATACAAAAAAAAAAGAATGGGTCTGTCTACCATTCCTTGGATCCCAACCAAAGAGAAAGTGAGGACGTATAAACTGCCTCGGCAAAGCAGACTTATAAATAAAAGATTCATGCGGGATAAGAAGGGTGGCCGCAGGTATCGTCTGAAGAAGCAGCGGTGAGCGCAAGTGGCTTCTTGGTGGGTGCACCGCGGGGGGTGGATGATTATTATTATTTTTTTTTTTGCTTATCTTTTTTTGAGTAAGCGGTGCATAGTTTTGTCCTTCCCCCTTTCATATTTTGTTTCATTTTTTTTTTGTGCAAGCAACATAGGAAGGAAGGAGATTTCCTTTTTTCCGCGTCCAACTAAGAAACATAAAGTGGTGGTTCATTCACGCGTGTTTTTATATAGCACGCCAAGTCCACCATATTGCTGTGCCTTTTTCCGTTTCTAACTCGTTTTTAATTCGGCACTGTGTATAGGCAGGTTGAAGCTCCTCACCCACGTGACACATTTTAATAGTCAAATTAAACTTAAAACTGAAAAAACAATGTTGCAGAGTTGCGTCTAATAAGATTTGTGGAAAACCTACTGCGACGTAAAAGACATTGATAAAAAAAATAAATAAAATAACGAGTGACAACTTTAATTATAAACAGGTGAAAGAATAAAACAAAATTATTTCAAAGGGGTGCGTGTATGCGCAAAGGGGGAAATGGACGGGGAAAGGCTAATGCGATATCGCATCGGCGAAATGCAAAAGCGGTGACCCAAATGCAACGACGCAAACACGCAGGGGAAAAAAAAAAAAAAAAAAAAAAAAATTCAAAGGGCGAGTGCAAATGCAAATGCGAATGCAAATGCGAACGCAAAAAAGTCATAAAAAAAAAACTTAACAAAACGTTTAAACAATGCAATTCATAACGAAAAGGACAAGGAACAAATGTTTTCATTCATATATTTTTCGGATAAAATGAATAAACTGAAAACATAAGTTCCTACAAATATGCACAAAAGATTATCCCATGTGTAACAGAAGTACATATATCTCTGTTTTTAATTAATAAGGCACATAAAATGGGGGCATTCCGCCTCGAGTTTCGTTGAAGGATGCCATGTTGGTGGTGTGTATTTAACTTTTCCTTTGAAGTTCAAACAGAATATGCTGCATTTCAAATTACATTATTTTCGTTTAGCTTGTGACACGACGCCATAATATAGCACTAACATGATCTTCTCCCTGTATCTGCAGAATTTCCTTTTCGCCATTTTACCGCGGGAGGAGAATACTGATGCAGCCCACATGTATATAATGCCAAAGTAGAGTAGCCCTCAGTCAATACATTTCATTAATAGCCAAAGGGGGGCCTGCAGTGCATACTGAAAAAGGTACACTTGCACGCATATGATATGATGTGGCTGCTTACCTAACGGTATATGTGTCTTCACCCTACTTTGTCGCCTTCTTGGCTAATATCTGTGCCCTGAGAGTCTTCATTCTGAGAATAACTTCCTCCAGCGTCCTTGTCTTTATCTCAGAGGCCACTAACTGGAGCCTCTCCTTTTTCGGTAAAGACGCAGGATGCTTCATGAGCGCTTGTTCCAACAAGTACTGCTCTTGATGTGTCCATGGCCGCTTCACCTCCGCGTGGCCATTTAAATTATTTGTCAAATTTTCTGCCGATTTATTTGTTAATTTATCTTTTTCCTCAGCTGTCATTTTTACATCCCTCTTATCTAAATTGTCATCAATTTTTTTCATCACTCCTTTATTTTGATTTTTAAAATTATCAAAAGCAGTTTCTTCAAAGTTTCTGCTTAAATTTTTTAACGTTTCATTTTCGAACATTTCTTTCGTCTTCTTTATAACTTCTTTCACACTTTTGGTTTTTATAAAATTGGAAATCAGGTCCCATCTGTTTCTGGTCCCCCCTGGGTAGGATTTCAATGCCTTCGCAAGTAGGGAAACTTCCTGGGCCGTCCATTTCCCGCACGTGTTACTATATTCGTCATTTTTCTTTTTGTCATTTTCGGAAAGGTGAGCACTTCCCTGTTCATTCATTAGCTTTACATTTTCGCTAACCTGTTGATGCACCGGGGAGGGGCTACTATTCATGTCTCCCCCTTCTGCTACGGGTGCATCCCTTTCGGATTTGTTCCTTGTATTGGTGCCTTCCTCGGAGTTCTTTTTTTGTTCCTTTTCCATAACACGGGTAAATGGGTCCACGTATTTTTTAAATATCAAAATTAACAACTCGATTTCTTTGTCCCCCAGTTCTATGTTTTTCAGGTGACCTATAAACCCGGTGGTTCTGTTTCCTCCACCGTCGTTGCTGTTCTGTGTTTGACTGGCCGTTTGACCCCCCACTTGATTTACCGTTTGGCTAGCCACCTGCTTGCGCGTCGTGCTGCTTGCCGTGCTACACGTAGTACTGCTCATGGTGTTGTTCCGCATGTCCATGTTTTCAGAGGGGTCCCTCTTGGAATGATCGCCGTCGGGCAACTCCGCATTTACTGCTTTGTTCTCATTCTGTTCGCCTTCTCGTTTTTTACCATTGGGGTGCATTTCCACTCGTGGCCCATTTCCCCCTGTTTCGATTTTGCTGTGATGCACGTGGTTAACTTCACATGGGGGGCTGTCAAAGGAGATGTTGCTATTCATCACTCCGTTTTGCTTGTCCTTCTCTAAGAGATAGTTATCCTTATGATGGTTCATGCTCACCCTAGCGACATGCCCGTTTAACATGTTGTTATCCTCCTTCGTCGTATAGTCTGTGCCATCTGGGGAGCCCGCGGCGTAGTTGGACGGGCCAGCATCGGCACATTCGTGGGGTTCCTTCCTCACTGTGTTATTTGAATCCTGCTTGGCAACTCCATTTGTCCCTACCATGTTAGTGGACCCATTTTCATACACATTATTTGTGTTAATTAGGGCACTTCCCTCACTCTTTCCCTGTGCAATGTGTGTTGAATCTGTCCCCCCTTGTGACTGCTTACTAACCTGGGTATCGTTGGGGACACTCTGTTTTTCTACAGAAAGGGGATTCCCCTTGTAAACGTTAAAATTGAGAAACACATATATGTCGTCTATAAATTCACACAAGGTTTCAAACGGCATAAGGGATAATTTTTCCTGTACTAAATCGGCGTCTACAAGTTTTGCTAACTTTGTTAAGCACAGCGATTTAATATGGTGTTTCCAAATTTTGACAGCTGCTTTGTTGTCCTTATTTTTTTTATCATTGCTTTGTTGGTTTGGTGGGCTCTCCTTTTCCATTTCATTTATGGTTGCATCTGTTCTTTTCTGTTTTTCCAAAATAGACAATTCTTTTTTCTTTTGTTTCTCTAATTTGAGTCTCTTATTTTCTGCAATAATTCTGGGGTCGTTATTGTAGGCTAAATCTACCAATTTGATAATTCTTAAATTTTCTGCCTTGGAAGCCTTTTTTTGGATTTTTTTATTTTCTCTTTCCATCCATCTCCTCTCCTCTCTACACTCCGCTTCCTCATAGTTGTACTCATTTTGATATGAGAAATCTCTCCAATTCATAAAATTATACCAAAAGTCGTAAAAATATTTTACATTTTTTATATCTGTATGTTCATCTCCTATATCTGGCACTGGTTTTTTAGCTGACCACTTGGCATTTCGCTTAAAAACTGGTCTGAGGAATTCATAAAAGTTCGGGGCCTCCTCTAACTCTGTCAGTGTTGGAATGTATTCATCAAATGGGATGGAACTGTCATACTGTTTTCGAAGTGTCTTGTCTGACAAGACGGCGTAGGAATCTTGAATTTTTAAAAACATGCTTTTTTTTTCTTCTGGTGTTAATTTTTCTATGTTGTATTTCTCCATGTAATACATAAAGTCCTTTTCGTTCTTCTCATGGCTTCCATGTTGCCCTTTTGTCTTAGCATTATCATCGTTTCTGTTACCGTCTTTCCCCTTCTCCCTTTCCTTCTTCCTCTTTTTTTCCTTTTCCTTTTGATTTAAAAAGCTCGTGCCTTTGTTCTTATCAGGATGAAATAACAATATAAGTTTTTTGTAAGACGCTTTTATGGTCTCTAAATCATCTGCCTCCTCTACACATAAAACCTCATATACATTTATATTATTGTTTATGCATTTTTTCACTAAATTGGAGCTTTTCTTATTGTTTGCCTTTTCCTGTTTCTTCTTATTTGTACTGTCCATATTGTTGGTATCATCATATTCATCTTCGTAATTTTTATCTCTGTTATTTTTCGTGGACCTGTCTTTGTTGTAGTCGCCACCCTGATCCCCCTCGCTATGGAGTTCCTCATTCTTTGACTTAAGATTGTTCAAGTAATCTATTTTATCTTTATAAAGAAATATCTCCTCTATCGGGATGTGTTTATCTTCCTTGGCCTTTTTCTTCTTCCCTTTTAATAGAGCAATTTCGTACTTTATATAAAACATAAATCCCGCTGGCTCAACTTTTTTCTTTCTTATACTTACACTATGATGGGTGGAGATGTAAGGTAGGCTATTAACTTTGCTAGCATAATCCTCTTCATTTTTCGCGTTAATATCTTGTAGGCAAAACTGTTTTTCTTCGCTCTGTGTGCATGCATCTTTTGGTAATATGTCTTTCATTTTGTTCATTCGAAGAGGGTAACCGACAGGTAGAATATTATGTGGGGAGTAATGAATAGGTTTTGTGGGTGAACTGTCAGATGGACTGGAACACAGCTCGTCGGACGGCTTCTCTGTTGAATTGCTGGATGTACAAATTGGTGCTCAAGTTGCTAGCGCTGACTTGGGTGCCAGGTGGGGACTTATAAATTCTTTTAAATTATAAGTGGTTACCCCAGGATCGCTCATGCGCGTGGGAATACATACATACACTTGCGCAAATGCGACGAGCTACACGCGTTTGGCGTCAACACAGGTCGGTTCATTTGTAGTGCTCCCCCCGTTTCCCGCAAACAGTTGTTCACATGTACGTGCACACAAAAACCCCCTTATTCTTCTTCTCGCCCCAGAAGGCCAACTTTCACCAATTTAAATGAAAAGGTAGGGTCGTGGATGGAAGGGCCAGGCGTCTTCAATTCCTTCATGCCGATTTTGAGTGTCAAAATGCTGGCCATCCGCGAACATTGCTCACAATTGCGCAAACGCGTGGTCACGCGCATGTATGTGCACATATATGTATATATATTATATATTTATTATATGTGGACATGTATATATGTGTAGATTTATGTATGTGTATATTTATATAGACCTGCTTATTTACATTTGTGTAAACGCACCTGCTCCATGCATGTCAGTATATGCGAATGCGCACATGGGGGCTGCTGCTCGTGCGTACATAAAATTTTCCCTTCATCTGTGCATCAAAAAGGAAGTGTTCTGTAGGAGAGGCAGCATTAACTACGCGGGCACGAACGGATAATAGGCATAAGTATATACATATATAAAGGTGTATATGTATATATACGATACATATGTCCATACGTACCCACGTATTGTGCTTGCGCTTGGCTGTAGACTACTAAATAATAACATTTGCGCGGTGTCGGGCAATTCGATTCATGCGCATAAATTTAAAGGGGCACGTGGTACTCACTTATTTATATGCATAGTTATAAAATTACAAACAAAAACAAAAGAAAAAAATGCTGAAGGGTTAATACCCCTGTTCTTATTTTTCAAATTAAAAAACTTATAAAAGAAAAAGAAATCCCACTAAGGTATACAGTAACCCACGCATGCATGTATGTATTGGAGGTACGTCATTATTCCCTGCATAAATATATGTCCATGGGAGAAAACTCTTCACTTGAACATTGAGAAAGGTGACTGAACAAACCTCATTGTAAAGGGAAAAAAATAAATGGCGTGAAGTTGAAAGAAGGGCAAAAGTGTTCGTAGGCACGAACAAGTAGTATATGTATGGTATATGTATTATATATGTACGTGTTTTACACGTATGGGGTCCTTAAAAGGGCTTTTTTCCCTCTCGCGTGAAAAAAAATGGATTAAAGAGCAGGTAAACGTCATGCGACATGACAGAATGGGGGACGTAAACCATATACAATACAAGTGCAGTTTTGTTTCTATTCTTTCTCTTTATTTTTTCTTATTTTTGTTTAACAATTATGAAGATTTTATAAATGGTGGCGGGCAAGAGTTAATCGTTTTACAATTTGCCCCCGCCGTCCTTCTAGCCCACTGATGCGTATACAAATATGAAACGCGGCGCGTCGGTCACATATAAAAACAAGAAATATAGTATTATGCATAATATGGGAAGCATCCACTTGAATTCTTTTTTTGCCATTTCTTTTTTTTTTTTTTTTTTTTTTTTTCCAGTCACTGTTTGTAATTTGTGGCTATGAGGAGAAGCATTTGCCAACACAGGGCGTTATATTTTCCTTTCCTTTTCTTAACAAGTTCATTTTTTTAACTTTGCGCGGATTTTCCGGTTTTTCCCCAATAGCAGCTTCTGCATTGTTTCATTTTATTTTGTTTATTTTCCCCTCATTTTTTGCATCGATTTTATATACATAAAAGTTGTTCTCATTAAAATTGCGAATTGTATGTTTGCATAATATGATATGGGTTAAAAAAAAAAAAGAAAAAACGAATGAACGGACGAAAAAATTTACAGTCTTCCAGCAGCATATATAAAGTGATTATTTGAAAAACAGGCACACTTCACAAATTACATAATCGCATGAACAAGTGTGGCAATTTGTGTAGTCCGTTTGTGCATTACATGTCCAAACGAATGGAAAAAACAGAAAAAGGAGGCTAACTTGAAGGAACATCATTAAATCGTCGTTCAGACACAATGTGGAGATTTCTATTCCACATGTCCCATTTTAATCGAAATGCATATTGAATAATTTGCATACTTATAGCGCTTTCTTATAATTTTATTTTATACGGCCTCTATACAGGGGGGAAAGTTGAAAGACATTATTTCTGCCGTCGCTCCCCACCATATTTTTACTGAACATGATAGAACTTGTACATATTTTATACAGCTGGATGCAGCGATAAGAGAAATATGAACACAACAGGGTAAATTATTGCCTTTACAATTTAACCAAGTGGAAATACGTCCCTTAGGATACACTATGGGCGAGACGCGCTTTTTCTTTTTGATACAAACCCGTCTCTATATTTTATGTCATTTGTCCCTGTGGACGGACACATTAGTGTCTTCCCCCAGATGATACACGCTGAACACGCGGAGGCACAGTTTTAACTATGTTCATGTAAATGATAAAAAGACGGGGAAAACAAAAAAGAGGAGTTCTAAGCATTGGCATGTAACAGTTTACTGCGTTTTTGTCGGTTCCTCCGTCGCTTTACGCATCTCTACGTGGAGGTAGTTATTCGCCAGGTTTTGAAAAAAGGTAGGGACATATTTTATCAAGTGAGGGAATGCTTCTAATGGAATGGCACTTCTGGGGTAAATCTCTACAACGTCAAAAAAGGTGTATCCCATTTTCGGGGGCATAAAAATAAAATATCTCTCTTTACAGATATAAAATATGTATAACTTTGTTTTTTATTGTTTTCTCCTTTCGTCCTTTCAATTTTACTTGTCCCTTTCTATTGGTACCGATTATGCCTTACAAATTGTTTGCTAAGCATTGTTTATGCGCTCGCTAACGTCTGAGGAGGAGCCATGTTTTTCCCCACATTTCCTTCCGCGTCGCAGAGCCTTTTTAATTTTGTAATTTTAACCTAAACCGTTAAGGGGAACTACGATGTAAGTATCAACTATTTAGAAGCTTTTCAGTTAAAAAGAATAAATTTAATTTAATTGTAAACAAAATTAAGCAAATAATCTGTTCTAAAAATAACAAAAGGAGCGCAAAATATTTGTTCTCATGTCTGGGAAAATTTCTATAAATATAAAAAAACGTTCACATAAAAACAACCAAATGTTCTTAGTTCCAATTCAATAAATGCGGGTATTTTTTTATGTGCTTGCTAATTGAAAGAAATTGTAGGGGCGGGAAATATATATATTATATATATTTATTCAAAGTTTTATGTCATTTTTAGCAATTTTTTTTTTTTTTTTTTTGGCTACTCCGGGAATCGAACCCGGGACCTCTTGCACCCGAAGCAAGAATCATACCACTAGATCAAGTAGCCGAATAACATAAAATATACAAAAGCAGCCAAGGTACCATATGAACAAAAGTACCAACCCCTCAATGTTGCTACGTCAACCTTAGAGTGCTCCTTCTTCGCTTATCAATTTATGCACTTTGGGATGAGTAAAATGACGTACTCTACATGTGAGTATATATTTATATGACAAAATAATGACCAATTCGATGGAATGGAAAAGCATATACCATTTTCTCAAATAGGAACATTTAGCCGTATGTCCCTGATATTTCCCTTGTACATAAAATTTTTTAAAATTGTTCCTCTTCTCTCTCGCATCTATACCTAAATTTCTCACTACCTGGATGGGGCAGGACTTATGCTTAAATCAATATTTTCCTTGTATATGTTGTGCACGTGGGGGAGAAGCTATTTTTTACTGATGAATTAACTAGTGTGACAGACAAGGAAGATTTTCGGACGGTGTAGCGTTTTTTCGTTCTGAGTGAACACGCGAAATGCAACCTTTTCAGTGCAGTCCATATATGTGTAGAGTCGAATGGGCGTGCATAAATGGGGAAATACTTGTGTGTGCATGTACGTATTAGAAAAGGGGATGCACATTCGAGGAGGAAATGTGCAGAAGAAGAAAAAAAAAAGCAACCTAACCATGAAGGGGAGAAATGGAAAAATTAACAAAGTGGAGTAAAGAATCTCCACCTTGACAACTTTATTTTGAGAAGATTATTTTCCCCTTCTTTAAAAGCAATAACAAGTGGGCGATGAATCGTCCATGTGGCGAAACATGGATTGTCGGGTGAGACGCACATCGTGGGCATTGCGCACAAATATGTTTAAGCGTATATGTAGCCATAGTACGCAGTGATGAGGGCAAAAAAAAATGACTAGTCCATTGCGTAACTACGGAGGGGAATATTATTCTACTAAAAAAAAAAAAAAAAAAATACAAAGTGTTTACAAGTTGGTCACAAGGTAAGTCACAGAGTGACTGAAAAAATGGCCACAACATGTTGCGAAGGATAAACATTGGTGATGGGGGAATGGCATCCAGCCCTTCACCGGCGTAGGGACAACTCCTTTCGGGCGGAACACACTGCCACTATCGCTAGCGAGTACTTGTCTGGCTTAAAAAAGGCAAGTTTCGTATTAATCTGAGTGCCCCTTATCTGACAGGTGTTAGAAGCTTTAGAACACTCCGTAAAATTATCCCTTGTCTTTGAAAAGTTTGTGTGAAATTCGAGGGAAAAACCAAATACCAGGGAGCTATTTTTTGGACAAGCAAAACTAAGCGACGTATCGTTTTCATGCTGATCTGAATTTACATAACCCATGTTTTTTACCTTACTGTACGTTTGAATATTTCCTAATCCATTGGTTGATCTATCCACACAAGCAATATATATCATGCTTTGCTTAATTTTGCTGTTTTGTAAAACCGCAGAGCAGCTGGTTTGCCCTGTTCGGCAGGGATATATGTCCACCTTGTTCGCAGAGGATGAACCTTTACCTTTCATTAGAGCAAACCCAAAGAGGATAACTAAATTACCAGGACACCATGCAGTTATTTTGGGGGACTCCCCTTGCTGCACAACTTGTGTTATAAAGTCCAATGGTTTTTCAGAGCATAATGCCCATATCCTTATATCTGAATATTTTTTACCAAAGCCACTACCACTGCAGGATTCTTTCATCTGTTCACAGGTAGCCAAACCATTAGTGCTGCTTAGGTCATTATTTTTATAAAAATCTAAATTTAGGGAAAAGCCCATGAGGAGGCTACTTCCCAATGGACATGTTAATAATCCTGGAGGAGGACCCGCATACAATTTCTGTGTGCATTTTTGAAGATATTCACCTATGGATAATACCACATGGCTATATTTTTCATGGTCAAATATTTGAACCCCATAAGTGAGGCCGTAAAAACTTAAGGCGTCTTTATAAGCTTGTATCATGTTCGGATCGTCCATGAAGAAGCTGAAGGGTAACAACTTGGTTCTTATAGGCATGGAATTCTTATTAATAGAATTAACCCATTTTTCAAAGAAGGTTGAATTTTCTACATTTAGTCCTGGGTTTCCTCCAAGAATGGATATATCCTTTGAGGTTCTAAATTTGTTCACCACTTTTTGCATCCGCTTGCTGTAAGCTCCAGATAACCCCATTTTATGAAAGTACAAATTAAAAAACGTTTTTATACTTATATTATTATCTTTCAATTTATTGTATTCGTCCTTTTCCATATTCATTTTTATGATTATTTTCCCCCCCAAGTATATTTCATGCGCTACATGTGTACCATGAAGCTTAAAAAACATCATCCACTTGTTCACATTTTCTTCACATTCGGGAGTATGTATCTTGTTGGTATAGTATTCGTACGAACATTGGCTATTCTCTTTCAGCCCGTCAAAAGTTGGGGGTAGTTTCCTCAAGGCGTTTCTAAAATTGTCTGTGAACCTCCAACTCGTCGTAGTTGGTATTCCAGTATAATAACGTAGGCAATAAATTTTCATCATGAATATGACGTTATTTTGAACCTTTAATTTTTTTATTGCATTTTTATACTCTGCCGATGCGGAAAAGGAGTATGGGAAAATAGACGGGGTGCTGACCTTAACATCGGACAGTAGTTCCATTTTGTATTGCTCTAAATTTTGTATTTCTTCTACATTTTTGGATTGACTACATGAGTGCTCAGGGATTACCCATGGGGTCAGTTTTGGCCTTTTCTCCTCTGTGGTATAATCACCCATGAGTGTGCACTCCCTGCATGGGGGGCCTTCTCCACGGATACCGCTACCATAAGGAGAGGTAGTACCATTCCCGCCATCAGTTCTATCCTTATCCACGTGCATTTGTTCTATATTTATTTGAAGCACGGGTCCCCTGAACCCCGGGTCCACGTTTATCGTTGGATCTCCCTCTGGGTTCCCCATAATGATGTCGTAACCTAACCCCAGGTACTTTAAGGACAAATCGATATCTGGATTGTGCCCACTATCATATGACGCGTGGTTCTGTCCATCATTAGGATTATGATTATTCGTTAGTACATTATTTTTTTTTTCATTAATTTGTGTGCCGCCACCAAGTCGTTCCGTATTGGTTATATATCCCGTTTCACCCATTCGAGGGTCTCTTAAGTCTAAATCTTTGTACTGTTCATCCCTCCTCTCTGAATTTATCCGCTTCAAGTGTTCCATTTCATTTTTGTTGAAAAAATTATATCTTCCAAGGCTGTATGTATTTTTGGACATACCTATTAAGTTATCTTCCCCAGGATTGTCACTTTCATCTTCCGTGTTCGTATATTCTGCAAAACTCCCATCTGCATTTGTGTGCATCGATTCCTGCCTTCCCGGCTCCTCCACGATCTCCTTCTCGTTGTCCATCTGTTCATTTTGTTCGGCATTTCCCTTGCTGATCTTTATTGGGAATTGTATCTGGATGAATTTTTCCTTTTCGAAATAGTTTCCTCCAGAGTAGCCAATGCTATCGTTGTACGCAGGGAACATTACCATGTTATCTCCTCCACTTTTAGACCGTTTATTTGGGGGTAGATCATTTCCCATGGAGTTTCCATGAATTTTTATTTGCTTTTCTTCCCGCTTTGGATTGTTCTTCAAGTTGGAGGGAAAAACAGTGTCTGTCTTAAAATGGCTAAAGGTTTGAAAATCACTCGGTTCCGTGTAAGCATTTTCATTTTCCTCTTTGGGATAATCTTCTGGCAAACCATGTGACAGGTGCTGCTTATTTGTTTTCCTCGTGAGGTCCATCAGGTTCGAATTATATTTATGCTTATTTATGCTGGCAGCTTGCCCCTTTTTTCCTTTCCCACTGGGAATTTTGTTGCATCTTTCTCCTGCCCTTTGCAAGTTACACAATTTGTAATTTTTTTCATTTTTCTTCATGGCGTGTCCCTGTGGGCGGTGTTCTTTTATAAGCATAAAACTGGAACATGTGTCTCCACTGCATTTCGCGGGTTCTTCCTTTTCGTACAATTTGGTAGATCGCTCCTGATTTACGACATTTTGACCATGTCGCCCATTTCGCCTCAGTGCATACCTGTTGAAGCAACCATATAAAGGATTGCCTACAGAGATGACGTTGCCATTTTGCAGTCTTTTACTTTTGCCTACCGAGTTCACGTCTGAAATGTATGACTGTTCTTCATTTAAAAAATCGGAGGAGTTAAAATTTTCTAAATTGTAATCGTCATAATTTTCGTGGACCAGCAAATATCTACTTATTTCGCACTTTACATTGTGTGTTGAAAAGTACACGAGGAGTAAATGAGCTAAAACACGTCCTACAGTTGTTCTCATTAATTACACTTGTGCATGTATACGTATAAATGCGTGCGTTGCACTGGATATTTGTTGCTGAAACGTCCATGCTTTTTTCCCCTATATTATTGGGCACATGTTTTATTGAAGAATTGCTCCAATTTTCAATGATATTGTTAAACAGTCAAAGACGCGAAAAATTTCGTGGCACTTAAAAAATATATGCTGTCCGTTTCGCTCGCACGAAAAGCCCCTTTGCACTAATGATAAAAAAAAAAAAAAAAAAAAACGTAAATCGCGCTTTTTAACTCCGAGGAAAGCACACATGTAAGTTGAAGGGCAGGCCATACGTTTGACTTTTGACTCATCTCAAAACTGAGAAGGTATGCGTGTCCATTGTCCTGTGCAGCAGCTAAGACGAACGTCAGCTTACATTTGTCTTATGTGAATTTAACATGACATCTTCATTTAGTAGGAGAGAACGGTACACTTATTTTTCTACCCATTTCGTGTGCTCATAATAATTGCTATTTTTATGTATCTACATATTTCATTTTTTTTTTTTTTTTTTTTTTTTTGAACTCATGAAGACTTTTAGCTTCACAAAGGAAACAAGGAAAATAAAAGCTTACCACAATTTTTTTTTTCATAAAATAATTTGTTTAATAGTTTGCACATTATGTGTGAACATTATTTATCTTTATTTAACATTTTTTTTTAATTTTTATGGAACACGACAATGAGGTTTTAACTTGCGCAAAATATTCCCACGCTTAAGCGATTGTAGAAAAATACCCAGGTCCTAGCTTAAGAAGTGATAACGTTGTGCTTCTTAATATAGCAAAATAGTTGTTCCCATTTTTTTTTTCATTGCATACTACATTTAAACGAAATTAGGAGCAACGTGTCGCTCATGCAGGTTAACCATTTTTAGAGCCACTTTGACTGCAATGATTTGGCAAAATTCTCGTTTATTAGTAAAAAAGTCAATAGACGAGGGTTTCCTACTACGTTCGTTGCGCGATGTGTACATTAAAATGTGCAAGTTTGGAGAGACGGCGAATTCGGACAAATTATTTTGGTGAATAAGTGTGATATACAGAGTCAAGGGCTTCCAGCCTTTTATGTTCCAAACTTTATGCACATTAAGAGGACCGCCATCATGTGACGCAAGAAGCTTTCTCGCAAAACTTATGTCATGCTCAGGGCTAAAAACATCACCTTTTTCTAATTGTAGAGACCTCAGGAACGTTTCCACAAAAATGATGAGAAAATTATAGCTATTTTGTACGTGACCCTCTTTTACTTCCTTCTTCTTACCAAATTATGATAACATGGGAAAAATTACACTACACAAAACCATTTTTAATATATTAACGTATTCGAAACAGTAACAGCTTGCAATGCTATCTGGAGAAAGTATAACACAGCTTTTTTTTAAAACACAAATTGTTAGTCAAGGAATAGTTGTGAGTTTGCGGGAAAAAAAAAAAAAAATGTCACATGTGTTCGCGTAACAGCTTATGTATGCATATACACATGCCAAAAGGTTGTGTGGAAAAAACAAAATTGTTCACACGGTTGCAAGCCAGTATTAAGCCCTGTCTGCACCCCCAATTTTGGCTAGTGGTCTTGATCACGAATATGTGTCAAAAATATGACTTAATTTATCTTAATCGCATAAATGGTAAGCACCTCAATAAAAAACAGCCAATATATGAACAATTTGGCTAACAAAATATTGCAACATTGTCTATTTTTTTTTTTTTTTTTTTTTATGCATGCAAAAACTTTGTTTTATGCTACATGCCCAAAAAAAAAAAATATGAACAATGTGTTTTCACTTGATTAAAAGGTTCTATTAAACGCTAATTTTTTTTTTTTTTTTTTTAATTTGGCTTGTTCTTATTTTATTGAATGTTTGAGCTACATGTAACACAACTGAATACAACAGTCACGGGAAAAGTACAAAAAGCTGGACAAAACTTTCAATTTTACCTGAGCATGCTACAAAAAAAAAAACTCCAGATAGCTACTTAATGTGTAAAAAACAAAAAAAAAACTCTAGATAGCTATTTAATGTGTAAAAAAAAAAAAAAAAAATCATCTTTAAGAAACATTTTGTTAAATGTCTGATCACTGAAGTTGTGCATGTACACATAGATTTAATCTTGAATTTATATTTTAATCTGTTTTTTTTTTTTTTTTTTTTTTTTTT